CCTAAGGAGGAATTACAGTTAGATTTTGCTGACCCACTACAGGACGAAAAAGGAAAAAGGGTTTTTATCTTGGTGGCAGTAGACCGTTACTCAAAATTTCCTTCCGTTCTACTAACTAAAAATAACGGTTCCAAAAAAGTAGTCAATTTTCTGGAAGCATATATACGTATCCATGGCATAGCTAATTCTATACTCACAGACCATGGCTCCGGCAAAAATTTGGAAATAGATCAATTGTTCTGCCCAGTCGGGGACCACCGTAGCTGTGGGATAGTGGAACGGACTATTCAGGCGATAAAACTTAAATTGGGTACAGAGGCGTTTAACCCTCAGTATAAAAGGTCTCAATCATGTCCTCCACACAATCTTGGATGATCTAAGGAAATCAAAGCACGCAAATGATAAGAAATATCCTTTTCAAGTACATTTTGGTCTAAAACCGAATACGGAACTTTCTTTGGCCAGGGATAAGATTCTTGCTAATGCTTCAGATCAGAGTGCCCTAGCTCGGAGTATCTTGAAACCGGAAGACCGACACAGCCAGGACTATAGCCTGGACAGGGTGAAAGTGCTGAATTATGGTTTACTCAGTCCAGACGTGGCCCCGCGCTTCAAGAATGTTGTTCCGGGTCAGAAGATAGCTGAGAACCAATATTATAAAGCCCTTGAGAATCTCGCACTCGCTGCTAACCGGTCGAGCCAGCTGAAACGCAAAATTACTGTAGAGACTGGGCGTAAAATGATGCGGGAGCTCCTCATTAATTTGGGTTCCGAAGCCACAGGTCAACCGGCCAAGCTATCTTTGCAATTAGATGTTTACTGCAAAGAAGGATTGAGAACCAGCAACCTCTTTGTATGACTTTCATCGACCTGAAGAAGGCTTTTGATTCAATTGATAGGGATGTGCTGTTTATTGGCCTAAGGGATTTTGGAATCCCAGGAGATATCATCAGTTTGATTGAAGCCCTCCACGCCAAACCCATCGGCAAGCTTGATAAGGGTAACACCTTTGTAGTGAACCGGGGGTGAGGCAAGGGTGCGTTTTAGGCCCACTGTTGTTTATCAACCTTTTTGACTTCCTCCTAAGTAAGACCAGTGGAGAGAAAAGAAACTTTGCATACGCTGATGATCTGGCTTTGATCTCTGACAACCAGACAAATGCTACCCAGTCGCTGAATGATATGGCAGAAACTTTTGGATTGGCTCAATTAGAAATCTCTGTAGAGAAAAGTAAAAGTATTGTAATTAACACCAAAGACAATACTAATGTCCCCATCAATGTATCCAGTGAACAGGTTGAACAGGTCAATCACTTTGAGTACCTCGGCAGCATCATAGCATCTGATGGGAGCGCTGACAAGGCTATCAGCGCTCGCATTTCTAAGACAATAATAGCAATGTTACGTCTTAGACCGGCCTTGGTGTCTAAAAGGTTGACACTAAGGAACAAGGGTCTTCTCATTGAGACATTCCTAAAGCCTGTCCTGCTATACGGCTTAGAGACCCTTGTCATCAGATGCACAGATCTTGGTAGATTAGAAGCGGTTATACACCGCGCTAAAAGAATGTGTCTCAGGCTAGAAACCAGAAATGAAATGAAACTAAAGGAACTGAATGAAAAAGTAAAAACAACGCCAGTCGCTCACCAACTATGCAGGAGAAGGGTACAACTGTATGCTTCCTTTAAAAACATCGGGGTCGATAGCTTGAATGAACTATTTGAAGGTGCTAAAGTTTGGCAAAAAGATTGGGTTAGGCAGCTCAGGGCTGATCATGACAACCACGGGCTCAAGACCAAGTGCGACCAGGATAACTGGTTGCATAATACGACAACTAAACTTAAGTTCATAGAAGGTGGGGATTTGAAAGCAAATGCTATTGGCAAGAGATCGCAAACAGTTCAATGTGCTAATGAAAACTGTGGTAGAATGTTTCATAGCAAAAAAGAGATGTACAGGCATCTCAGAGAAAATCATTCACCCTCGGTCCAGACCTCCGCTAGTAGTGAAATTGAAACTAAAGGAAATGAAAGAACTGTAGCTAAAGGAACTGAAAGAACTGTAACTAAAGGAATTGAAAGAACTGCAGAGATCCCCCAGCAGTCCAGCGACGGGGGGTCCAAAAGGGTAAATTCGACTGCCCTCTGCCCGACTGTAGCAAGACTTATGTCTGTGTCGGCGGTTGGACAAAGCACGTGCAAAACTGTCCCCCGCATGTGAAACTGATCAGCGCATCAGAATCGACCGTCTAAGCAACGCAACTGAATCTGCAACCCTTCGCATCAAACCAAGACACTAGCACAGGTGATGAGGTGCTAACGTGTCCACTCTGCTCCTGCCGGTGCTCGGTTAGAAAGTCAACGATCAATCAAGGTTATGTGAACCACCGATACTCCTGGGTCAAAGCAAGGCCAATGCCCAAGCCGCCAAGTCATGTTGGCGTTGTCCCGGTGCGTACAATCAATAGGCAAAATTGTGCAGGTTGTAGCGTCATGATCACCACTGCTACCTCGGAAAGGTAGAACGGGTTCCCGGTGGTGACTTTCATTTCGTTTGAATCAGTTCTAATGATTTGATAAAGTCAGAACCATTGCCCCTGGCCTTGACCAGCTGGGGTGCAGATGGGAGGAACTTATTACCCTGAAGTTTTACGAACGCGATGCCGATGCACCCAGCAGAAAACCTTCGGTCCCACCAAGCCAGTCGCGTCAAAGACCTACCGGTACAAGTAAATTAGAGTCATTGTTGTTGCATAGTCCTGGCAGTTTAAAAATTTTTAGAAATTACCTGGACTGAAAGCCCGAAAAACCACTTTATAGACCCTTAAAATCTAAGATCGTTCGCGTCACGAACAGCACGTATATTACGAATACGGGAAACGTTTTTCGAACGAATGACATAGCTCTCACAAACGGTCGGCAGATCCACCAGTGGTCCTCTTGTCGGACTCGGATACCCAAGAAGCAATATCACGAACTCAATCACACAGGAGGTCTCCTTGGTCTATGTCTACCCCTCAGCGGGCTCCGATGGTTACTTCAGCGCCTCTTCAGGGGCAATCGGCACAACACGTTCCTCAAACGCCTTAAACCCCATTGTACCCGTCTGTGCCTTCGGATTCGCCCATTGGAGGCCTAAACGCGTCCAACAGCTCGGTGGCAACTTTACCCGCTACCGACACGGCAGTCGCACGAACTCCAAATCTCCGATCTCGGTACGCCATTCCGGTGGTCCAGGACACCCCAGCGGAAACTCCAACTCCATGACCAGTTACGTCACAGGTCGCAAAACTAGGTCTTGCTCCTTCAGGGATCCCTAGCCACTCCGAACCACCACAGTCAGCGGTGCAGGACGATGTTGAGTCACAAACTTTTTCTTCTTCGAGTGCCAGGGCGTCAGGTCGAAACAGAAAGACGCCAGCTCTATACGGAAGCACAGCTCACCACTCCATCACAGAAGTGGAAGAATCAGCTGCCTCTTCTCCACTGCCCGGTCAAATCGGAGACAGCTCCCCGGTCACCCCGAAGCGTCGCTTTATTCGAAGAAACGCCGAAGAGTTTGTTCAATCCAGTTCGCCGCCAAATAAACAATCTCCGAAAAGGATGGTTTTCAAAAATTAATCAATCTGAGTGCAAAACTTCCTTCAAACTTTCTTTAAATTTCCTTGAAATTTTGTTTTATTGTTGTAGCTCCTGAATGTTAAAATCTTTCTCAAGCTTTTTGTTTCCCACCCAGGTGATCTTGTTATTTATCATACGTGTAAAAAAAATTTTGCGCCCCCGGGTATGTCATGCCACGCATATTATATATCATGATTATACAATGCAAACATTGCTGCAGTTGTTACAGTGGCGCCAAAACGCCCACCAGTCGTGCTAAGTTATCTCACACGGTGCTAAACTTAAATTCATCTCTCTGTATCTCGATATACGATTCAGACTTACTCTTACGATAGTCTAACAAAATCAACTCTATATCTTCCTCTACCCAATACACTTTGTAAACATAAAGTTAATTCTATTTGGGCTAAGTCTATTCTACTTCTATATACATACTACGGTTGTATATAACTATTTCAACTCTTCAATTTTACCGAGTTTTTATCAGTCCCTGAGTTCGGTAAATGTCACTACCACAAATAATCATCGGACAGGGTTGAGTGATATATCATATTGAAGCCCTTCCAGTCGTGATTCGATAGACTTCAAAAAACTTTTTAAAAACTTTCATAGTGTCCAGAAAAACCTGTTTGAAATTTTTTCAATTTTGTACTAATTTCGAGCTAATTAGTAAGGTAGTTAGTAATCGCAATAGCTTATTTAAGCTAAATTCCAGTCGTGAAAATGTAGTTTTGCTCAAGTAAAGGTAGTTCTTGGAGTTCTTAGGCGTAATTTTGGGAATCGAAGAAAAAAACCTATTTTTTGATAATCTTCTCCCATATACAGGGGCGGATCTGAGATTTTCTCGTTGGGCGGAGGAGAGAGTGGGGCGGATTTTCAAAAAAATTGACATTCTGTCAACCTTTTTTTTTATCGACTAAAATGATTTTTTGAGCTCAACCAAAGTGTTATAAAGACCCTATTCTGACCAAATTTTCTGCGTCGCCGGCCAATTTTTGAAAAAAGGCCAAAAAAGGCGTTTCTAAGCACATTTGCGCGCGCTCCCTACCAAACTTAGAATATTTTGGCATCGAAAATGCCTTACGAAAAATTTGAGGGCCAATCAGCCAAAAATGGATCTGTCAAAGTAGTACAAAGGGGGACCCTTTGGGTCGGCAGGGAGTCGAATTCCTGAAGGAGATGGGCCTCGCCCCCCCACCCCCACTAAATTCGCTACTGACACTCACTATTTGATATTTGCTGTAGAGGAGGAAAGTAAATTTTTCAAAGTTCAATACTTACAGTTATTCAATATTTTTTAAACCAATATTTGCTATTGTTTATTAATATCGTTATCAAAATCCACGGCGTATCTTCTAGTGTAATTTCTTCTATGATTCAGCATGGAATGTAAGAGTGAATTCAACTGTGCTTACTCGTGTTTCAACCGACAAGAATGGCCGAAGTTTGTTCCCATTGTGATCGGAGGGTTCGGCTGGATCAGACCGACCACACATCCTGTAGCACATTGCATCACATCCAACTTCCAGTGTCTGGTATTAGAAGGTACTGCTTTTTCAAATTTTTGAAACCTTTTTTTCAGGATCAGCCAAAAAAAAAACAAAAAAAATCAGTTGCTACGGGCGTTGCACAGAAATGTGCCTCCACAATGATTTGAGAAAAGAAGTTTTAACAAAAAAAACTTAGAAAAACAAAAAAAATTATCTTTTATTTGAAATTTCAAAAAAAATGTCCAATATTTTGTCCAAAGGTTAACGGAATTAGGTTAACCAAAATAAAAATAAATAGCCGCTAATATAACGTTAATATGATGGTAGATTTGAACCTGATGTCAGCTTGTATTGAAACTTGCTAATTTCGTCTGAAACTGAAATTTTTTTAACAAGTCACGCCTGAAAGAGCGTGATTTTAAACAAATCACGGCGGATTATTTAAGGTAGACAAAACAAGCTGAAAAAACCACGCCCTATGCCAAAATTTCTTCCCGTCATTTTCCCGTCGGAACAACATCCCCTAAGCTTAAGCCACTAAACAACCCTTATTTATTGTATGCACCATGTGAATTGCATTACAAGTGTTTTTGTTTAGAAGATCCTTCAACATGGACCACGACCTTCGAGAAAATAATAGCTAAATGTGGAGCTATTGTTAAAGAAGCAAACCCATCGGCAAATGAAAGCGACCGCGACTTGACCGACAAGAATCCGAGTTCTCAGCTGGTGGAGTCGATAGCCTCATTTCTAACATGTGAGTTCTGTCAGAATATCTACGACGATCCGAGAGTTTTACCCTGCAACCACACATTTTGCCAGAAAGATCTGCTCTCCTGGGCTCAGACTAACGATCCGGAACCGTTCTCTTGTCCCAAGTGTAGAATTGAATCCTTGGTTGAAATCGAAGAGTTGCCTGTTGATATGAAGGCAGTTCAGATGGTGAAAGCGCATAAAATAATGCAGGAAAAAATGAGTTCACATCCAGCTAAAGAGGTAAGTGTTACGCCTGTTCGTCAAACAACAACTTTTACTCCTAGACCAGCTCAAATTCAGACCCAGGTCAAGTTTCCCGAGGACTTGCAACAGTGGTTCGAATCCTACAAGATTCCTAAAGAATGCCAAGAGATTCTCTACGACGATGGATTTGACGCCATCAATTTGGTTTTGGAATTGACAATTGAAGACGTGGACAATTTGCCACTAGCAACAGGCCACAAAAGAAGACTTTTCAAATCTTTAAAGAGTTCACGCGGCGAAGGTGCTGAGGAACCGCAACAATCGCCATTCCGAGTTCGTAGCACAATTGTTCCGAGGTCATCACAGGTCGTCCAAGTACAATCAGCACACGCGGAGTACTCGATCGGGGAGTTCGAACTTTGCTCTGCGCAACTTGTTGAAGTTCTAGAACCCGAATTGGACCTCGGTGACCCGGAATGGTTATTGCTGGATAATATTTATGACGAGCGGGCTCTAAGCAGCGGCACTCATCCAGCCGATTCTCTTAAGTTTTGGGCTAGTTTTGCGCCAAACGATCGCGAAGAATTCGTAACCAGAATAAAGTCTATGGGGGATAGTGTTGTGCGGCAAAGTGCTAATCTAGAACCAGCAGTGAAAAGTGAGAAATTAAGGAAAATCGCGATGGTCTTGTGCGATGCGGGCGAATATGAAGACTCTATTTTATTTTCGACCCATGCTGTTGAAAGTTTGACGAAACATTCCGAAGGCTATTTTGTAACGAGTGCTCTGCTATGTCTCGCGACGATGTTCAAGTTAAAGATGCCTCTTTATATCAAACAAGGCGATGAACTTAATGATGAGCTAAGCGATTGGAAGAATCTCGTTGAAAAAGTGGACAAAATCATCAAAGATATGAATGAGTGGGCAATCAGTCAAGCCATGTTGATGAAGCTGTATATTATGAAAGTCTTTTCGATTGACGCTGTGAAAGCGCGAGACAGGTTTGTGAAAAAAACTGAGAAAAAACAAATTTTTTTCTCAACAAGTTTTCTGTTTTTTTTCCATACGGGAAAATTGAATTAGATAAAAATAGTTGAATTAACAGTAAAATTGTATTAGAAGAAAATGAGTGTTCGGCGCCATTCAGTCTGAAAAAGGGGAAAAATCAGACTAGTTTTGCTCGACAACGGTTGAACGATGTCCGCTTTCAACTTTTTGAGTCGAACGATGTCTGTTTTCGACTTTGTTCGACTTTACCGGACATTGCTCGGCTTTGTTGGACATTGGTTCGTTTTTAATAGGCTGTAATATGATAACACACTTGACCCCCTTCGAGCTTTCTTTGGGGGTAGTCAAAATTGAGAAAAGAACTATTCCTAGTTGATATTTCTTTGCCTGCAAAAAATTTAATGGTCTGAATCGGAAAAGTAAAACGTATTTGTAGTCATTTAAATTAATATCTACGTTCGTAATGGTTATCTACGTCGGAACTTTAGTCGAAATAAAAATGGGAAGGGAAAAGAAAATTAAAAAATCAAACAAATTATCAAAAATAGAGCGAGGGAGGTTAGTAATCGTACTACTTTTTCTGCTTCAAAAGAATACAAGCTTATGGGGAGGGGACTAGTCTTTTTAAAGGTTGCGTTTTAGTTTTTAGACCAGATTGTGTTTTTATTTCTAGTGAAAGCCAGCTGGATGCAAATGCATCAATCGAGGCTGCCCGCGCTCTTTCCGAGAAACTTCCCGACAAGGGTCTCTTGGCCGAACTGGAGATGACACATGGGAACATTCTAGATGGCAAAGAGGGCATTGAGAAGCTTCGGCTAGCCAGGAAACTCTGCCAAGAGTCTTACGGCGAGTTCAGTGCACTCATGGCGCGTATATACTACAACACTGGCGTAATTCTGGAAGAAATGCGATTGAAAAAATTAGCCTACCAGTGTTTTAGACGAAACTGGCTCGTTCTCCGGCAAATATATGGCATTAATCACTGCGAAACGAAAAAAGCTGCTGAAGTTTTGACAGACGAAGATGACGTTTATTGTGGCATTGCGAGGGATTTGGGCGACTTCCTCCCCAATGATGACCATCTAGGTAGTGTAGATATGGATTATGTAGAAAGACTGAGGCCCTTAGACGACCTTGATTTGAGCCAAACTGACAACCAGGACACAGAAGACGAAGGCCACGAAGAACAAGAAGAAGACGAGGAAGGCGAAGAAGAAGAAGAAGACGACGACGAATAAGGCGAAGAAGAAGACAAAAAAGAAGGTGACGAAGAAAAAGAAAAAGCACAAGAAGAATCATCAAGTTGAATATGTGTATCGTTAGCTCAAAACTATTGCATGGCTATTATCAAACATAAAAGGGGATGAAAGCCGGTCTTTTCTATTATACGACTCAAATTTTGTGACCTGTCACGGAGCCGAATACCCGGATGGCCGAAAAATAAATTCGTTCCCGGATAGCCGAATTTTTCATTCCCCGGATAGTCACTGGACATTACAAAAGCCATATTATTACATATCAAAAACATACTAAAAACAGACAAGTACTAATCAACATAATTTTTTCTCATTGTTTTCTTATTTCGAGTGCCCCTTCTCACCTACTAAAATTTAATAACATTATTTTTTTTTAATTTTTTTACAACCGGAGGTACTTAGTTTTATCGGCTATCCAGGATTGCGATTTCGTCGGCACGCATCCCAAATTCGTCTTTTCGCTATATTGAATTTTCAATAAAAATACTTGATTCTGATTGGATTAAATTAACAAAAGCAAAGATATGTGTAGGGGCGGATCTAGGATTTTTTAGAGAAGGGTCGGATTTTCAAAAAAATCGAAAATTTTGTCGATTTTTTTTAGGTTGACCAAATTGACCTTCTGAGCTATCCCAAATCACTATACAGATACCATTTTGATCAAATTGTCAGCAAATTTTTGAGAAAAAAAAAACAGGCCAACAAAGGCGTTTTTATGCACTTTTTGGAAAATTTTGAGCAAAAAATTGCGTTTTTTCGGCGCGCGCTCCGCCTCGAAATAAGTATAGACGCCTTTAGAAAATTTTAGGGTCATTCTGCCAAAAATTGTTATCTCATAACAGTGGAAAGGGGGACCCTTCGGGTCGGCCGGGGGTCGAATCCGATAGGGGGAGAGGCGTCCCCCCTAAATCCGTTACTGGATATATGAATGGAGAACAACCGACTTTGTTGTGTGCGTTTGTTTTTTTTCTAGTAACCTTGACCTCTATAGCAACTATTTAGATAGATACCTGCCAGTCGTGTTTCAACCTAAGTCGATTGAACTTCGCGTCTCTTATTGATCTCTTAAACAAATGTCAGTTTTAATTCAACTTATTACTTTTATTCTTTTAACCTAGCTTAGTTTTCTTTAGTATACCAGTGGTATTGAAACACTTCTTATTATGGCGCAGTCAACTGATTCAAATCTGCGGAGAATTTCTGCCTTTTGGCCGAACTAAACTGTAGAACCACCCATCCAAAGGAAAAACGGATTGGTCAGTTCCACTTGGCCATCATCGCAAAGAGATTTTGGATATAGACAACCTGAAAGAACCATTGATGTCGGAAACGGAAATCACTATTTTAAAAGGCGCCCAGGATTCAGAAAATGAAACGCAGAAGAAAATCAGGGAGGCCAGAAACAAAGAAGTAAGGCAAGTCTACGAAAAATCGGATGACAAAAGAATCACGGAGGACAAACGAAAACTTGGTGGGATGAGGAGAAACGAAGCGGATAAAAAAAGTAAAATCAATCTTTTTCTTGGCCCTAGGAGCCGAGTGGAAACGAGTTTTTTCACAAAAGTATCCAAGGTTGAAAAGTGTATCCAGTTCCTCAAAGAAATTTTCAATCTTCTGGTAGCAGAATTTGTGAAACCAGCGAACATTACGTTTGAACAGTACAAGTTATTGAGCCGAAAACAGAAAGATAGAGAATTCTACGAACAATTTTGGAGAGCGTTCTCAGATTTAGCGAGAGTTTGCAAAATAAGATTTAACACGGAACAGGAGTGGATAAGAGACGTATTCATATTCACTATGAGAATTTGTGAAATCCAACGGAGACTCTTATCGGAAACGCTTAATCCAGTGGATGCACTCAACCAAGCAAAAATCGACAAGAAAGAACAAAAAAAACAGGTAAATATCGGATTAGGTGAGGATGCAATTTCGAATATGAACATTACTGTGGATTACGAGTTCTTTCAGTAAGGTTTTTGAAACAGAATCTGCTCCATGAGCTAAAACTGGCAGACCCACAGTTGAAGATTCTACCCAAGGATAAGAATATCCGGGCACTATACTGCTGCTTGACTAAAGGTACAATAAATAAAAATCGGAAGAATTTTGGTCAAAAAACAGTCCAATGGATAGATTCCAGAAGAAACCACATTTATTAGTAGCACTGGACAAGAGAAAAACATCCTGGGAAACGACAACTTAACTCAAATGCAGATTTATAATTAATTTTAATTTATAATTTATTTTATAATTTGCAGATTTATAATTAAATTAGCTTGAGAAAAAGAAAATAAAATTTCTAGTTTAGTTTTTTTTTAAAATACCAGTGATATTGGAACACTTCTTATAATGGCACAGTCAACTGATTCAAATCTGCGGAGAATTTCTGCCTTTTGGCCAAACTATACTGTAGAACCACCCATCCAATGGAAAAACGGAATGGTCAGTTCCACTTGGCCATCATGGCAAGGAGATTTTGGATAAAGACAACCTGAAAGAGCCATTGATGTCGGAAACGGAAATCACTATTTTAGAAAGCGCCCAGGAATCAGAAAATGAAACGCAGAAGGAATTCAATCAAAAGTTTCTTTTTTTTATTTCAATCAAAATTTTTTATCAGACAAATCTATTTTTTCTAAAACTATCATTGCTTTCCTTTTTGTCGAATTCAAAATAAGAAGATAAATCTGACTTTTTAGTCTCTCAAGCCTGAGAAAAAACTTTACGATTACCTTTACTTTCAGAAAAACAAGGCATTTCGTTTTAATTCGAAAACGACATTATGTCCCAAATCCATCAGAAATTAGTTGCAATGTACAAAGGGGAGTTAATTTTACCATCATCCGCATTAATGTTTACGGAACAATGCTCGAAAAAACTTCATCTGATGATGACAGACGAGCACAAAACTCTCGAAGAAGTAAATAAGGCAGTAGAACAAGGAAGACCGCTGGACAAATTTTGTGCCTATTTGAAGACCTTCCAACGGGATATCCATCTGAAAGAAGGATTGTTATTCAATGACCACAAAATGATTGTTCCAGTAGCCCTTAGATCCCCGTTCATGACGCTACTACTTGAAACCCACCGGGGACAGTTCGGGATGAAAGCTTTGGCGGAGAACATATGATGGCCTCCTTCGTACCGGAGATTTTACCAACACGGTAAAAATTGCGCACAGTGTAAAAAAGCCATTGAGAATCTTGAAGTCATTTTGGGCTTGGCTAGTACTCAGAAATTACCAATTTTAAGAGAACCGAACGAGGAATCAAACCTGGATTTCGCAGGTCCGTTTGATAAATATTGGGCACATCAAAATATTTACTTTTGGATATAGATAGATTTCCTAAATATCATTCCGCCAAAGTGGCGAATAGTAGTTCAATACGTAAATTTTGACGGATTAAATCAACTTACATGGATTCCTAAAACCAAACAGAGTGGACAATGGGTACTGTTTCCTTTCCAACGAAATTAAGAACTTCTGCCAGAAGAAAAAAAAATAATTTAATTTTATGTACCGTGGGAGATCACAGATCAAATGAAGTCGTAGAACGAATAATATTCACCGTCAAAGCAAAACTAATGGCAAGGTTGTTTAGAGAATCCAAGCCGACGCTAAATGCAGCAATCGGTAAGGTCATATGAAACCTTCGTTCAACGAAATAACCATCCAAGAGAGAGAGATACAGAGAGAGAGAGAGAGAGAGAGAGAGAGCTCAAGACTGGGGCACAAGCGACGTTACGGAGGACGGCTATTTGGATGAGACCAAGCCTGACAATAAAGGTTACGAGAGCGACTCGAGGGACAAAGCATTGCAGATCGCACCAGAGCTCCGGTGTTAAACCCTTTCACTCAAGGATAGAAATGGTATAAGAAGACCGTGAACAGAAGGTACCTATCTCACCAGCCCTAGAGGGCACCCATTAGGTCGAGACACAAGTCGAGTTAGGGAAAAATTGTTCAGATTACTGATCCCACCAGCCCTAGAGGACACCCATTAGGTCGAGACATAAGTCGAGTTATGAGAATGTTGATCATATTACCAATCCCACCAGCCCTACAAGACACCCTCTAGGTCCAGACATAGGTCGATTTTTGAAAATGTTGATCAGGTTATCGATCCCACCAGCCCTAAAGGACACCCTCTAGGTCGAGTCATAGGTCGAGTTAAGAAAAAGTTGTTCAGGTTACTGATCCCACCAGTCCTGGAGGCCATCCTCAGGGTCGAGTAATGAAAATATTGTTTAGATTACCGATCCCACCAGCCCTAGAGGACACCGTCCAGGTCAGACATAGGCCAAAATATCAAACTGTTGTTCAGATTACCGATTCCACCAGCCCTAGAGAACACCCATTAGGTCGAGACATAGGGCGAGTTATGAAAATGTTGATCATATTACCGATCCCACCAGCCCTACAGGACACCCTCTAGGTCCAGACATAGGTCAATTTATGAAAATATTGATCAGGTTATCGATCCCACCAGCCCTAGAGGACACCCTCTAGGTCGAGTCATAGGTCGAGTTAGGAAAAGGTTGTTCAGGTTACCGATCAAACCAGCCCTAGAGGACATCCACTAGGTCCAGACTTAGGTCGAGTTGGGAAAAGGTTGTTCAGGTTACCGATCCCACCAGTCCTGGAGGCCATCCTCAGGCTCGAGTAATGAAAATGTTGTTTAGATTAACGATCCCACCAGCCCTAGAGGACACCCTCTAGATCGAGTTATAGGTCGAGTAATGAAAAAGTTGTTCAGGTTAGCTATCGCTCCAGCCCTAGAGGGCACCCACAACGTCGAGCCAACGGTCGAGTTAAGAAATTGTTGATCAGATTACCAATCCCACCAGCCCTACAGGACATCTTCTAAGTCAAGACATAGGTCGACTTATAAAAACATTTTTCGAATTTTTGTTCCCAGGAGTCTTAGAGGATACCCTCTAGGTCAAGTCATAGTCGGGTTATGAAAAAGTTGTTCAGATTACCGATCCCACCAGCCCTAGATGAGAACCTCTAGGTCGAGACATAGGTCGAATTATGAAAATGTTCTACAAATTACCGATCCCACCAGTTCTAGAGGACAACCACTAGGTCGAAACATAGGTCAAATTATGAAAAAGTTGCTCAGATTAGCTATCCCACCAGCACTAGAGGGCACCCTCTAGGTCGAGTCTTAGGTCGAGTTTAAAATTATGATGGAGATATGACAATGTTGTTCAGAATACCGATCCCACCAGCCCTATAGGACAGCCTCTAGGTCGAGTCATAGGTCGAGTTAAAAAAATTATTGC